TTGAGAGGTTTCCGTTTCCAAATCCCTACGACTTAGATGTGAATTTCTAAAATAACTCATTTCGTATCTCACCCTTGGAGGAATGTAAAAAATGATATGTGAGATCGGGGTGACATCTGGGGTATTAAATAATATCTTATTCATTTTGTGATGGATACATTGTATTTGTTTAGGGAAATAATTTAGACGATTTTTTGAGAATTTTCGGAAAAATGGTTAATGTGCTTATTTTTTTGGGCGAATATTCTATACTGTAGGAAAAATTTGACTGAATTTTCCTGAAAAAGACCTTCAATTCGATTTGAGGATATCAAAGTATAGTTTCAAAGTTTGGTATAGACACACTATTGATTCAATCATTTTCAATCAGGAAATTTGTTAATTAAATTGCGTGAGAAAAATTTGAAAAAAATCGTGAATATTCAGCATCATTCAAATTAAATTTTACACAGAATTATTATTTTGTTTTAACATTCGCTCCTTATAAATAAATAATTGCAATTTTTCAGTTATTTTATCAATCTTTCCCTAACAGTAAACTTTCCAATTTTTTATCAGGTTTTCGAAATATTTTCCAACGGTTCAATATCGAAATTCGAATTCAGATTTTCCAAGTTTAAATAATCAAATCATTGTAAAATATCCGGAAACTCGGGGTCCAATGTGGCTCAAATGAAATGATGACTCTGATGAGCTCTGATGTTTGACTATAAAAGTAGAAAAGCATTTCACTGGAGAAAAAATAGCCAAAGTATTTGCATATTTCCTTAAGGGAAAAAAGTCATGGGAATTTCAAGTTTTTCTGGAAATTTTCTCACACTTTCCAGGTATTTTCAATTAGAAATGAAGATTAATGCCGAATTCCCTTGAATTTTCATGGAATTCCCTTCAAATTCTTGGAATGTAATTCATTCTTAAGAACCTGGAATTCACGGAGAAATTTGTGTGAATTTTCCTGATTTTTCATGAATTTTCCCGAAATAATTAAATCAAAATTTACCGTTTCTACGGATTTTTTCGTGAAATCATCAAATTTCACTGACAAAATTCCTTGAAATTTCAGTGGTGATATTACTTGTCAGAAATTTCCAAAACTCTTACCCGAAATTTTAGTGGAAAATGTTTAACAGTGTAATTATTTTCACTGTTCTCGGAATCTTTTGACAGTGAAATGTGATTGAAATGTTTATTTATAGATGGCATAAAACAGTAGTTCATTGGAAAGTGAAAGAGAAAAATCCTATTCATATCAACCGATGCTAGTGAATTGACAGAGTGAATTCTTAAGCCGCAGTTTAAATGCAATGAGATTTCAAATAGTTGAAGATTCAATGAAAGAGCATAACTTATATTGATATTTATTAATTATATGAAAGCATATATTAATATATTACCATTACATTGAAATGTCGGCAATTAAAAGAACAAGCCCAAAAAATAATATCTAGAACCTCCCAATTTTCCATTTGGATGTGAAAAAAAATAAACCTCAAAAGCGAAAGAAAAATCTGGTCCGAAGGAGGAAATAGTATCGTCTGTCTGAGGCAGATGGTGCGCAAACAAGACAAGTAAAGAAGGAATGGCACGGAATAAGGGTGTCATTATTAAAACGTCGGTGGGCCGCGATAACACCGAACTCTCCCCCTTGCCTTATCACGACAGATGTTATCGACACGGAGGAGCGACACTCGCCGCGTCATTCTGAAATGTACGTGCGTTTCTCTCCCGTGTGCTGAGGGCATGCAATGTTTTCCTCGCATTTTCCCGCTGCTGACGCTACCATTCCACCTTGTTACTTCATATAAATCCATAATAGCATCTTCTCCGTTCCATTTGAGAATACGAAGACATGTTTTGCCCAGAATTGCACGGAGCCGAATGGATTTCAGGAAAAAATACTTTGGATGGAGAAAATCTTACGTTTTCACTTACGAAAAAAATTCGCAGAGTTCGAGTGAAAATTCCGTTAGTTTCTGGCTGATTTTATTGCCCAATTGTGCAAATTTAATGAGTTTTTTTTTATATTCAATTTAAATTACAGAAAAAAAACGTCAGAATTTCATGTGTCTAAATAAGTTTTTTTATTAAGATATTTTCTATAGGAATTCCTTGACTGACATTTTCTGTTTTTTCCACTTCGATTTTCTTTTCTCTTCATTAAAAAAATTAAACAAAAAATGGGAAGTTTGAGCCGAGGATTTTCTGCAGAAAATGTGTCAGTAAAATATTTATTTAAATGGTTGGGAAACATCAAATTTGATTGTTTTTTTTTCATAGAATATTTTTCATTAAACAAAATGCGGAGATCGAACGAAGAATTTTTCAAGAGAACTGTCAATTGAATTCAGTAGGGGTTTCTATGGATTTTTTTTGTGCAGGATTTTTGTAAAAGCAAAAAACTTCTCTCTTCATAATTTTTCCCCAATTGCTAAAATAAATACATAAATAAATAAACTCGTCTAAAATTCTTTCAAAAATCCAATGAATGAAAAACGAGTGGATTAAAAAAAATAATCAACTAAAATCTTTAATACCATCAGTAGAGCCAGTGCATTAATAAAAACCCGAAAAAAGACAAAAGATGCCGGGAAAATCGTGGTAAAGTCACCTCACGATTTCCCGGGATTTTTCCATCCCATTGTATTTACTCAGATCTGCGACAAGACGTGAAGTTTCAATCTCAATTTTTTCCATGAATAACGCCAGGCACGCCGACACGAAGTACAGAGTAGAAAGCGCAACACTGAATTTTATCACTCAGAAATACTACTCCCCATGTATTCCACCTGCCACTCGATATTATTCCACCGCAGATCCCAGCGACTTCATCGATATCCGTCAATATCACTCCCCAGTGTAAACAATCTGATGGCTACATCAATCCCTGTCACTGATGATACACCCGTCATCCACTCTAATCGACTTTTACAAACTCATGAGAAAAGTTCTCCCCTCATATGTGTGTTGAGAATATCAAACTACTTTGACAATTTTTTTTTCTTGGGAACATGCACAAAAAAATTTCATAGAAAAACAGCGAATTCTGTGGAAAATTCTATTAGTTCTTGGCGGATTTGAAAATTCCGCAATTTCACTGCGCAAATGCACTGATGGAGTAGAACAGATTGACTTGAGGGAAATTAACCAACTTGACAGGAGAAAATTTAATGTCTTTCACAAAAATTAAATTTCTGTCGTGATCATCAGAAATCCCTAGAAGAATTCGAACTGTTGGTACGAAAAAATATAATCTATTGTACGACAATCATTTCATCTAAGAGAACTCCATAGGTTTATACACCACAGAAAGAATACATTGACGAGGAAAAAATATTTTTTTCCCAAAAACATTGTCCCCTCGAAATTATCCTTTGTTCCATGGAAATTGGTTTTGGTGGAAACTTTCTTTTTTATCCACAAGTAAATTGTTTCCCCACGACAAAAGATCTCTTCAGGGGAGCATATAATTTTTCCGCAGAACTAATTTTTTCTCACAGTGCAACTAAAAATTCCTCGGAGATCAATTCAAAATTGAATTCGTTCATTTAAATTCACTTAGCCTCTCTCTCATTACAAATTCTATTATTGTGTGTCAATTTTCGTTTTATTGTTGTACCTACATCATCGCCAATACTTTTTCATTCCACGCTTGAAAAACATTACAAAATTTGTTGAAAGGTTTCCTTTATATAAATAACCTATTTACATGTCACAATCCCTCATTTTTCATTTATTTGGAATTTATTCCATGTGATTAAGCCAATATTTCCCTCCAATAAATATACGAGTCCATTAACTTCCATAAAAAATACTACAGAAAAAATTCCAATAAAAAATATTATTTTGTTTTGAAACCAGTTTGGTCATAAATGATGTCAAAAAATCTTGAAACCCATGAGATGATCGCCGCAAGCCCATAAATTGTACTAGGATTACCTCAAGCCGCTGAAGATAGACGAAAACATTAGGTAGTAATTTTGTCTTCAGATTTCCTGAAGTACATTCCCATCGAGATAGTGAGATTGGAGCAAGATCCCAGGAGAGGATAATGTTCTTGGTGAACGCCCTCCGTAGCCTTGACCTCGGCAACCCCACTTGGTTGCGCACCGGCGACTGGTTCAGGATCACATACCTACTCGTTTTCCACAACCCAAGGGTCTCCCGGCAATTTATAAATAATTTGAATCATCCGTGAAACTTACGACGAGAAAAACCTGAGATGAAGTTTTCATCCACTCAGCTTCATAAGACATGTGAGGTACTTTTTACTCTCCAACGCAGTAATAAGTAACAAGTCAATAGCTTATCGCGGCGTCATAAAATTCTTTTACACACGAGCGGATGAATGATAACGCCCCGGGGCATCCCCGGTTATGTTTGCGGCAACGAAAGATATTTTATGACGCCGATTGAGTGTGTGTGTGCGCACAGATGTCACAGGTCTGATTGTTCAAGTCTCAATTGATGCGGGAATTATCATAGAATGACAACTGCGCATCAAAAACACTCGATAATTATCGGTATATAAATCACTGACCGTCGTGATTTGCAATCTGACGAGTTTATGCACTAAAGAGTGATGAGATGATACAATTTAATCGACCGATAGCGCTATCAGTCGTCCTCAAGGTCGTCTCCAAATTTTGAGAAGCCCCCGTGCCCCAATTTTAATGATCAAATAAGTAGACATTTGTCTTACGCATTCAAAGTCAACACAATGAATAGTGGTATGGTAATGGAGCGTTAACCCCACGACCCGCAATTCCCTCACCAACACAATCTTTCCCGATCCGTGAAATTCACTGTATTAGTGCAGCGCAGCCGAGCGCGAGACGGCTGGGAATTCCTGTGACTATATCTTCTGGTGGACTGTGTCACCAGTTTTACGAACGATAGTTGGCAGATCGGTGATTCCCCGGTGAATATTTTATTGCTCGGGTGCATTGGAACTTGCATATATAAACCGACGATGAGCTCTGCCAATCACAGTCGTCCACAGTTCTTGCTTCAGAGAACAAGGGAAGAGTACAATGAAGACTATTGCACTATTTGCCATTGTTTTGGCAGTCGCAGCTGCTGAACCAGGTCTCAGACGGGGAAAGGTTGGGCCGCCTCCATTGATCGTAAGTAAATATTTCTTAGACTGTTGATTATTTCGATGGTTTTGGAATTCATGTGGAACTATTTTCTGATGTTTTGGTGGGATGATTAATTTGTAATGTCTGTTGACTAGAACCGCCCACGTCCACCAACCGGAACCGGCAGTCGTTTCCGGCGTTCTCCGGAACCTGAGCCTCAAGGATCGATCGTGCTTCAAGGACAAAAGCCCCTGAGTGGACCTGACCGTCATGGATCATGGAACTTGGATTACCAACATAAAATCTACGAGGGAAAGAACGGACACATCAGCGCATCAGGTGGTGTTGGAAGTCAGCACGGTTCAAGGGTCGGACCTCAGGTTGGAATTCAAGGGCAGTGGAGATTCCGTCGTTCTCCCGAACCCGAGCCACAAGGATCAATTGTATTTCAAGGACAAAAGCCCCTGAGTGGACCTGACCGTCATGGATCATGGAACTTGGATTACCAACATAAAATCTACGAGGGAAAGAACGGCCACGTCAGCGCTTCAGGTGGTGTTGGAAGCCAGCACGGTTCAAGGGTCGAACCTCAGATTGGAATTCAAGGGCAGTGGGGGTTCCGTCGTTCCCCCGAACCCGAGCCACAAGGATCGATCGTTCTCCAAGGACAAAAACCCCTGAGTGGACCTGACCGCCGTGGATCGTGGGGCTTGGACTATCAGCACAAAATTTATGAGGGTAAGAACGGACACATCAGCGCATCAGGTGGTGTTGGAAGCCAGCACGGTTCAAGGGTCGAACCTCAGATTGGAATTCAAGGGCAGTGGGGGTTCCGTCGTTCCCCCGAACCCGAGCCACAAGGATCGATCGTTCTCCAAGGACAAAAACCCCTGAGTGGACCTGACCGCCGTGGATCGTGGGGCTTGGACTATCAGCACAAAATTTATGAGGGTAAGAACGGACACATCAGCGCATCAGGTGGTGTTGGAAGCCAGCACGGTTCAAGGGTCGAACCTCAGATTGGAATTCAAGGGCAGTGGGGGTTCCGTCGTTCCCCCGAACCCGAGCCACAAGGATCGATCGTTCTCCAAGGACAAAAGCCCCTGAGTGGACCTGACCGTCATGGATCATGGAACTTGGATTACCAACATAAAATCTACGAGGGAAAGAACGGCCACGTCAGCGCTTCAGGTGGTGTTGGAAGTCAGCACGGTTCAAGGGTCGAACCCCAGATTGGAATTCAAGGGCAGTGGAGGTTTCGTCGTTCCCCCGAACCCGAGCCACAAGGATCGATCGTTCTCCAAGGACAAAAACCCCTGAGTGGACCTGACCGCCGTGGATCGTGGGGCTTGGACTATCAGCACAAAATTTATGAGGGTAAGAATGGACACGTTAGCGCATCAGGGGGTGTTGGAAGCCAGCACGGTTCAAGGGTCGGACCTCAGGTTGGAATTCAAGGACAGTGGAGGTTCCGTCGTTCTGCCGAACCCGAGCCACAAGGATCAATTGTATTTCAAGGACAAAAGCCCCTGAGTGGACCTGACCGTCATGGATCATGGAACTTGGATTACCAACATAAAATCTACGAGGGAAAGAACGGCCACGTCAGCGCTTCAGGTGGTGTTGGAAGTCAGCACGGTTCAAGGGTCGAACCCCAGATTGGAATTCAAGGGCAGTGGAGGTTCCGTCGTTCCCCCGAACCCGAGCCACAAGGATCGATCGTTCTCCAAGGACAAAAGCCCCTGAGTGGACCTGACCGCCGTGGATCGTGGGGCTTGGACTATCAGCACAAAATTTATGAGGGTAAAAACGGACACGTTAGCGCATCAGGTGGTGTTGGAAGCCAGCATGGTTCAAGGGTTGGACCTCAGGTTGGAATTCAAGGACAGTGGAGATTCCGTCGTTCCTCTGAATCCGAGCAATAAGCAGCTGTAACGCTTCAATGACCACAACGCCTGAGTAGATCTGACCGTAATGGATCATGGAGCTTGACGAATCTCTAGTGTCATGAAATAATTATACTCAAACATGTATCACACATTGCTCATCATATTTCAATCCTGCCAATATTCAATAGAATACTAATTTATGTCTCAATTAAAACAATTTCGTGAAAAACAAACATGTGTCTTGAATACTTTCAATTCTGTTGACTAATCCCTTGGTNAGGACAAAAGCCCCTGAGTGGACCTGACCGCCGTGGGTCGTGGGGCTTGGACTATCAGCACAAAATTTATGAGGGTAAGAACGGACACGTTAGCGCATCAGGTGGTGTTGGAAGCCAGCACGGTTCAAGGGTCGGACCTCAGGTTGGAATTCAAGGGCAGTGGAGGTTCCGTCGTTCCCCCGAACCCGAGCCACAAGGATCGATCGTTCTCCAGGGACAAAAGCCCCTGAGTGGACCTGACCGCCGTGGATCGTGGGGCTTGGACTATCAGCACAAAATTTATGAGGGTAAAAACGGACACGTTAGCGCATCAGGTGGTGTTGGAAGCCAGCATGGTTCAAGGGTTGGACCTCAGGTTGGAATTCAAGGACAGTGGAGATTCCGTCGTTCCTCTGAATCCGAGCAATAAGCAGCTGTAACGCTTCAATGACCACAACGCCTGAGTAGATCTGACCGTAATGGATCATGGAGCTTGACGAATCTCTAGTGTCATGAAATAATTATACTCAAACATGTATCACACATTGCTCATCATATTTCAATCCTGCCAATATTCAATAGAATACTAATTTATGTCTCAATTAAAACAATTTCGTGAAAAACAAACATGTGTCTTGAATACTTTCAATTCTGTTGACTAATCCCTTGGTAACAGTCAACCCATCACCACCCTTTAAATCTAACTACTCCAAATAGTGAATAGTAATCGAAAACTGAGTATCTGAGACTCGAGCGGATGACCAGCTCGTCATCCACAGTTCATCACAGTTCGTTCATCACAGTTCAATCCTGCCAATATTCAATAGAATGTATACTAATTTATGTCTCAATTAAAACAATTTCGTGAAAAACAAACATGTGTTTTGAATACTCTCAATTCTGTTGACTAATCCCTCGGTAACAGTCAACTCATCACCACCCTTTAAATCGAACTACTCCAAATACTGAATAGTAATCGAAAACTGAGTATCTGAGACCCGAGCGGATGACCAGCTCGTTTGTTAATGCTCGACCGGATAATGTGCTCCCCGGGACGCTTCTGCTAATTGCCTAGCATCGCATTATACCTCTGAGGGGACAGTCAACCGAACTTCACATCTGTTGACATGTTCTAGATACATATTGGCGTCATGATCGCAGTATACACATTCAATCTCCAGTCGATTTTCTTAATTTTTGTTCCATTTTGCCTCCCAAGATGCGTTACAAGTTCGATAGTCATCGGATTAGATGGAGCATTTGCAAGTGGCATGTACCAACGAAATAATCTAGAACTATCAACTAACTTGAGGGGACATATCGAGCGACTTCTGATATCTGATGGAACATGTTAAAAAGTGGGGAAAAAAATCAGTCCCACCGATTTTAGCTTGTACCACGAAAAACAACATTTTTCATTTTTGCCTTTAAAATTGTCCAAGTGCATCAGTTTTAATCCGATTGACATTTTTTTCAAAATGTTCGTTAAACTTCACAAGAAAAGCATCCGTTCTACATTCCATTGGATGGAAAAATAGAACAATTTTTTTTCGTTTATTGTTTCGCTTTGATTCATCATCCCATCTTTTTTTCAATTTGGTCATGAGTCCTTCAACGAAGCGGAAAATGAACGCGTGCTTTATGGTTTGGAAACTAACGAACATTTTGAAAAATAATTTCACTCGGATGAAAACTGCAGCACTTGAACGAATTTAAAGGTAGAATTGAAAAACTTTTTTTTTCGTTCATTCACAGAGTAAAATCGACGAGACTTTAATGTGGACTTTTGAATTTCACTGCGGTCTCCCTTATAAATTACGAAATAATTCCACCCATCAACTCGTGTTTGCTTGATTGTATTTTCAATTTGGGTCGTCATTGTTCCCATTCCCCACAACCTTTAAGACGCTTAAAGCAGGTTACTCGGGTATCAATATATGTTTACAAAATGAAGTTCGTGCCTGGATGCATCGCATTCCGTACACAACTATCGATACCAGATACGATCACCTTCAGAATATGAATGTAAATTAAATCTCTATTTGCCAATGTTCAAGTATCAATCGTAATTAACAGAATATTAATCAACAACTTTCGTGATTTGCTATCTGACGAGTTAATACACAGAAGATTGGTGAGATAAAAGCATTTAATCGACTGATATCAGCTGTACTCAAGGTCATCTCCAAATTTGGGGAAATCCCCCGTGCCTTAATTTTAACGATCAAACTAGTAGACATTTGTCTTACCTAATGAGATTTGATTACAATGAATAGTGTTATAGTAATGAAGCGTTGAAGACCCTTAGCCCACCCACCAACCCAATCTTTCGCGATACGGATCTGTGAAAGTCACTGTATTAACGCTGCATGGCCGAGCACGAGACACCTGGTAATTCCTGTGGTCATATCTCTGATAATCATTAATTTCGAGCATTGGCAGATGGGTGATTTCCCCTGCAATATTGTATTGCTTGAGTGTTTTGGTATCCGGATATATAAACCGGCGATGAGCTCTGTCAATCACAGTCGTCAAAGTTTTCTGCTTCAGACAACAAGATACGAGTAAAATGAAGACTCTTGCACTTTTTGCCATCCTTTTGGCAGTCGCAGCTGCGGTACCGGTTCTAACTAGGGGAAGAGTCAAACCTCCTAAATACATTGTGAGTAGGCATTTCTGGGATTATCGATTGTTTCAATGATTTTGCAATTGATCTGCAACTATTTTCCAATATTTTGGTGTGATGATTAATTTTCCTGTTTTTTGCCTAGAATCGTCCACGTCCACCAAGTTCATCCGGCCACCGTTTCGGTCGTGCTGCTGAATATGATGTCTCAGAGACTGAATCCGATGACGCTGAGATAGAAGCCCGAAAGATTCACGGACACATTCACATTGGTGTAGGAAAGAAGGGTCACATTCATACCAGCGGAAAGATCCAATGGGATGAAAGTGAAGACGAACTAGAACCCCGTGATGTTCACGGAAGCGTCAGTGTGGATGCCGGCGCCTCAAAAGGTAAAGGAAGCAAGGCTGAAGGGCATGTTGGTGTCAACGGAAAGATCGAGTGGGATGAGCCAGAAGCCCGCGATGTACACGGAAGCGTCGGTGTAGAAGCCGGGGCCTCAAAAGGTAAAGGAAGCAAGGCCGAAGGACATGTTGGTGTCAACGGAAAGATTGAGTGGGATGAGGATGAACTAGAGCTTAACGGAGTCAAATGCATTGAATCCCGCAAAGTTCACGGAATCATCTGTGTAGAAGGAAACAAGACTGAAGGCATTGTTGGTGTCAAGGGACAGATCGAGTGGGATGAAGATGCGCCAGAACCCCGCGATGTCCACGGAAGCGTCGGCGTAGAAGCTGGAGCCTCAAAAGGTAAAGGAAGCAAAGCTGAAGGGCATGTTGGTGTCAATGGAAAGATCGAGTGGGATGAGGATGAGCCAGAAGCCCGCGATGTCCACGGAAGCGTCGGCGTAGAAGCTGGAGCCTCAAAAGGTAAAGGAAGCAAGGCTGAGGGGCATGTTGGTGTCAACGGAAAGATCGAGTGGGATGAGGATAAGCCAGAAGCCCGCGATGTCCACGGAAGCGTCGGCGTAGAAGCTGGAGTCTCGAAAGGTAAAGGCAGCAAGGCTGAGGGGCATGTTGGTGTCAACGGAAAGATCGAGTGGGATGAGGATGAGCCAGAAGCCCGTGATGTCCACGGAAGCGTCGGCGTAGAAGCTGGAGCCTCAAAAGGTGAAGGAAGCAGGACTGAGGGGCATGTTGGTGTCAACGGAAAGATCGAGTGGGATCAAGAAGAGTGAATATATCGATCCATGGTGGAACCACCAGAAGCTGCAGATCACGTTGACGAATCGCTAGGCCATGAAATAATTATACTCAAACATGCATCATCATTCATAACAGGTTGATCCTGCTTATATTCAATAGAATGCATCCTAATTTATGTATCAAATAAAACCATTCCTTCAAAAGCAAATGTGTCTCAAATATTCCTAATTCCGTTGAAAGCAATCACCACCATTCGAATCAAACTACCCCTAACACTGAATGGTAATCGAAAACTGAGTATCTAAGACCGGAGTGGATGATCAGCTCGTTTATTAATGCTTGACCTAATAATGTGTTTCTCGAGAGGTTCACGCTGATTGCATACTCCGTTTATGCACGATGGAATGGCCACTAGCATCGGATTATAGCTCTTAGGGGACGGTCAACCGGGCTTCACCTCTGTTGACATGTTCTAGATACATATTGACGTCATGATACACATCCCAATCTCCAGTCAATTTCATCAGCTGTCTCACTCCATTTTTCACTCCCAAGATATGTGACAATTTCGATAGCCATCGGAATCGATGAAAAATCCACAGTTGATATGTACTAACGAAATAACCTGCACGGAGAGAAATATTCAATCAAAATTACCTATCTTTTCCGTAATTTTTATTTGAATTTCCTGTGAAAATTTACGATAGCGTCACTTAAATTTTCTGAGTCGATACCGTAATCGGCGAGCGAACTGTGAGTTCCGTAATTTTTACTGACCATTTCTCTCCGTGTGGAACTTTCAACTCACTTAATAAAGTGCGTGATAACTCGACCTTTCAAGTCGTGTTTGTTCGATTCAACTTCTGATATGGGTTGTCTTTGTTCTCATTTCCCGCAGCCTCTAAGACCCTCGAAGCAGGTTACTCGGGTATCAATATATGCTCACAAAATGAAATTCGTGTCTGGATGCATCGCCTTCAGTACACAACTGTCGATACCAGCCATGATCAACATCAGAATGTGAATACAAATTAAATCTCCATTTTCCAACGAATCTGCATAGCCCGCTGCATCCCTATAATTCCGCGTGAAATCATCGGCAACCGTAATTTTATGAATGCAAATTCAGTACTAAACATGGATTTGTTTACCCCCGGCAAATCTGATATTTGAAACTGTAATGAGGACAAATATTGTCCTACCGTTCTCACGGATAATCGCTCGTCTATTCCCCTTTGCGAAGACTACAAAGTCTTTTTGACATCTGTTGCTGGGCTTGAATTGCAAATGAAATATACCGGCGCATCTCAAGGCGCGTCCCTCCGTGAGCCCATTGCCTCCGCTCGTATTACCTCCCCACGTTAAAGGAAAAAGGTTCTTAAGAAAATAAAAAAGCAGCGACAGGACAAACAACACAGGCTAGCTCGCGGAAAAGAATCTCCGGAACCCCTGGTGAAATGAAATGGATTTACTCATTCATTTGTTTATTCATTTTACACCGGGGGAAAGCTAAGAGGCCGAGTTATACGATTTCCTCGACTCTTTTACTTTCTTTAATTTTCTCGTCGCTATCTCCTCGCGTTTCAATTTTCCACTACGAGAAAAACTGTTTGCCCCGGCTGCTTTTCCGAGTATCAGGTTTCAGAAACAAGACGAACTCTTCCTAGTAGCTCAGCAGTAATTGCCCGGGTTCACATCTCCAGTTCCCAATATTCCTCTCACTACGTGAATTCCAGAAATGTCGAAATAAATTTTTTTTTTCACCTGGCGCCAAAGTGTCAGATTTTGGACTTTTGCCGGGGGAAAGTCGACTTTCGCCAAAATTGAATTTTTCCGCCAAGTGAGGGTTGATTCTGCATCTACTTGCGATTCTGATGCCAATGACACCCTTCGAAGTGGGAAAAAGATCAAAATGAAAAAAAAAATTTCACCCAGAACCAAAGTGTCAGATCTTGGATTTTTCCCGAGGGAAAGTTGACTTTCGCCAAAATCGAATTTTTTCGCCAAGTGAAGGTTGATTCTGAATCTACTGACGATTCTGATGCTGATGAAACCCTCGGAGGTGCCAGATATGTCGAAATAAAAAATGTTCATTTTCACTTTGTTCAAGAGTCAGATTTTTTAACAATTTCATTTTTTATTTAGACAACGCATGCAAGCGGATAAGAGGATATAAGTTATAATACATTACTTATATTTAGACCCTCATTGCCTGACACCACTTTTTTTACTTTTATATTCTGACCCTAAAATTGTGACCCTAATATTCTGACCCTCATTCTTTAACCTCCACTTTTTGATCCTTATGGTCTGACACATGCTGCCTGATCCTTATATTACCCTCAAGAGGGCTTGCTACAACCCGGTCTGATACAAGAGAACAATCTTCGAATTGAAACACCCATCCCTCAATTGAGTATAAAATATATTTGATTCAAGTATTTCTTTCCCGTGTAGTTTTCTCCAATTAAAATACATCATTTCTCTGGGATGATTCACAGAAGCTTCTCGTTGACGTCGTATTGTACCGAGATAACGAACAAGGCAGAAATATCCTAGGAATTATACGATCCCTTCTGTCCTCTCTCGAAGTTATTTCGCCTTTACGATACATCGTAAACTGGTCTAATGTCTCCCTGGAATCCTCTCAACGTTCTTATTGTCCACGATTGGGAGCGATATACCACGTACAATACATCTCCCGGAGCAGATTTGTGGGACACGAAATATCATTAATTCTCTCAAACCCCGCGAATTTATTGCTACCGAACCGTTAAATCCACTCGAAGCGAATTCACGTCAAACCAAACTTTTGTGAAGGAATACTCGTTGAAAAGTCGTCCTGGATGCATCCGAAAATCTCGACTTCTGTCAACTTGTAATTAGACTTATTCTGCACTTGTAGCATTTCGGAAAACTTTCGGGGATGGATCACTCCCGGCTTAACCTTAGAACTTGGCGCCTCAGCATCTCTGTGAAAGACTTCTTACAACTAGCTGACTTCTGTAATGGAACAAACCACTTTGTGTTTACGGTTTAGTACGCTGAAGTGCAGTTGCACTGGAGGCACTTGTCTTAGTGAATAGAAGCGAAGGAAATGTCATGTGTTTTCATTGGGATGTGATCATGATCGTTAAACTCATGATAATGTAAATCTGTTAGATCATGATTCGCACAATTTCTTGCTCGGAAATATTATTCGTCTTCGCTTGCATTCTTTCGTTATTATAAACTTTAAATTAAATTCAGACTTCGAATTTTCACTCATCTCTGTACAATTGGTGAATTATTCGCTCACAATTCGCGCGATTTTTCGTTGTTACTAAACCTTTACATAAAGCGGAAGTCACAACAATACTAGAATTATTTGCTTAATAAATGAGAGGGAATAAAGTGTTCGGTATTTTCATTGAGCCAACAAACACAACAATTGTTTGCCCATTGATTATCTTATCTAAAATCCTCCCCCGTCTCTCACATCAAATGACACTCGTGAATTACATCCCACAAACGCGAGCTGAATGAATAGACACGGCAAAGATAAAATTTTCCCGTCGGCAATTTCCACTCATACCCCTGCAAAATCCCTGAAATGCCATTGTTCTCCCCCGAGAAATTGCGAAAATAGGTATGCATATGAGCCTCTGCACGAAAATTGGTAACAAAACCACTGGGAGAATAAAGAGAGAGACGTGGAATGATAAGCAGCAGAGAACGGAGGACAACCGGAATTAGTTTGTCACTCTCATTCTTTTATTTCAATTTCCACTTTTCCGTCCGTCCGCCCTCTCTCATTTCTGTTTTCCCGACCCCGGCCCACTTCGCCGGGGAAACTGCATCGATGTTATTACGATCGATCGAGCCCACGTACCTGCGGCAGAGTGAGCCTGCAGACTAAAGCCACAGTCTGCAGTTGCGGCGGAATGCGACTCACAACGAGGAGAGGGAGAGAGAGAAATTTGTCTAGACGCACTCGAAAAACTGGGGGTTGAAGTTATGACATTTTTGCCTCCCTTGTTAAGACGGTATGGTCTGAAATTAAGATATTGAGGCATGCATTTTGGATTCTAGGTGGCTTACCCATGGAATTTTTTTATATAATGATTCGAGGCTTTTTGAGTTCGAAGATGAAGGCGATAGCAATAATTCAGTAGCGAAGTGGTAAAATGGTACGGGTCAAATGTGACTATTGACCAGTTTTCTGTGAATATCTCGGAATCTAAGGGAGATAGTAAAATTTTTGGTATAACCTTTTTTGGGGAGCCGATTGAGGGCTATAAAAAATGTAATTACAAAAATTTCGCTATCTCCCTTAGATTCGGAAATATTCCTCAAAAACTCAACTGGGAGATGAGCCCATTTATCTGCGTTTACCACTTCACTACTGAATTATTTATCCACTGTTTTGTTTTTTTTCTGTTTTATAATTAAAACATTGTACATCATATGTAAATACTAGGCTGAAGGCCCCGGGCGATGGCCGGTCAAAAGCGTCTTGTGACAAATTCCGTTAAAAATAAAAATAAATAATAAATAATAACTATACTATGCGCAATTCAAGAGCAATTTCGCGTTTGTTTTCATTGGTAATTTTGGTTGTGTTAAAAGTTGGGAAAAAAGGGGTAAGAGAATTCTTGTGATCAAAAATAGTGATCAACAGTTATTTTCCTCAGAATAATATCTGAGGCTTTTATGTTCTTTTGAACTTGCCATGATATTTTTTTAAAATTCATTTGACACGCTTCATTTTTGAATTCATTTGGAGACACTAGTTTTTACAGTTCACTCATCATCAAAACTCTTCTGGTGTCAATTTGCCAATTTTCTGTTCTACCATCGCACATTGAGGCACTTGTTACGCTGGTTAAAATCACGTTTGAGAGTGAAAGCAGACGTCTGAGAGGCACTGCAACCGGTGTTACATGGCACTCATGACACTTCGCCCATTTCCGGGGACACATAATTCAAGTCCAACGAGTTATGAAACTCAACTCGGATGTTGCCAGCCCTTTGACAAAATCAATTAACTGATAATTTGAAACCTCCCATTGGGTTTCAAATTCTCATCTTCCTGAGGGCCAATAACTGGGCAAACTTTGTATCATATTGGAAAGTTCTTCGGTTTCCTTCGGAAACTTTTCAATTTATCGGTGAGATGGAGATTCCAGTTCTCGGGGT